GGGTTTTAGGGTTTATTAAAGTTAAAAAGGGTTTATTAAAGTAACAGTAGCAGGGTTTAGGGTTTTAGGGTTTACTAAGGGCATGTCCGCGCTTGCGTCCTGTTGTTGTTGAGCTGGGCTTGCATCGTGCTTTTCTCACATGGTGTGCCCAGGGTAGGGTTCCGGCGACTGGGTTTTTGGTCTCGAAGCAACCATGGACTGCACCAACACCGCCCAATCAACGATGGATATCACCCGAGTTCTTGGCGAATTGCTAGGCCCTTCCGAACTCCTCCTCGCTTGGCGGTGATTCTGTAGGGTTGCAGCCTGTGCTCGTGAAGCTCGACATCCCGAAGTCCTGAACCCAGAGAACCCAATACCCCTCAGTTAAGGAATCTACCTTAAATCATAATATTAGGGCCCCAGAGGACCCAATACCCCTTAGTTAAGGAATCTACCTTAAACCATAATATTAGGGCCCCCATAGTTTAAGGCATCTTCCTTAGTTAAATGCCCAAGCTTCGACACGAAAAACTGGGGACACCAAACGCATCTCCTCGGGTTAATTTCTGGATCTGAGAGCCGTTCTTTCCAGGGGCCGCTGCCTTCCCGGCCGAAGCAGCCCGTAGCTCGTCAGGGTTTAGGGTTTAGGGTTTAGGGCCTGATCTTCGCAGATGAGTCTGGGTCAGATTTGGATCTCTGTTCCCTTAATTTCCAGAAGCTGTTGAGGCTTTAGGACCCAAGGTGTGGGGGAGGAGGGGCGTAGGTTTGGGCATTCATGCTCAGGTGTTTGCAGTTGGGTTTAGGAGTTTGTGGGGCTGCATGTTTGCTGCTAGGCCTTGTGGTCTTGTTACTGTTATGTAGAGTCTGCTTGCCATCGAGGGTCCGCGAAGTTGTTGATGCTCTCTTCTTACGTTGGAGCTCCGTCGGATTCCCTGCGAAATGTCCCACTCAGTAGAAGGAGATACTACATTATAGTATATCACATTTCATTATCATAGACTATACTATACTAAACTAGATCATATAATGATGCATGTCCATACAGATCGCTTCTCAGAGCTTGGGCTTCATGCCCAATCGTGCAGGATTTGGGGGGCTCACTTGCAGAACGTCGAATGTGAGATTTGCTTCATGGTTTTACCGTAAGGTTTACGGTTTTAACCTACTGTCCTGGGTTTGTCATCAGGTGTCATTTCTCAGACCAGCTTGGTGAAGATCCCGGTACTGTCCGGCCCCACCCTAAGTCCTGAAAGCGAAATGGGAGTTTCCAAAAATAGGGGACCCTAATATAGTACCCTAAATAATAGGATCCTTATTCTTACCTAAATAATAGGATCCTTATTCTTACCTAAATACTAGGATCCTTATTCTTAGGGCCCCAAAATAGGGTACCCTAATTTTCGGACACTCCCAAATGCAGGCACCAAAGACCTACGAGACTCTGAATCCCATCATCGCCCGTGGGAACTTCCTTTATGACTCTGAAGCTCGGCTGGCAAGGGGGATTCATGGGGAAGCTAGTTGGAACGTGGCATCAAACGTCAAACGGGCCATCAAGTGTGTATACATATATATATATATAAATATATGTATATTATAGATATATATATATTATAGATATACATATATATATATATATATATATTACTATGATAATAGAGTTTCTCAGTGGGGCTCAGGCTCTCAGGAAACTGATGTTCTTCCGGCCGCCGATGCTCGAACGTGAGGGCCTCTTTGGGATTTAGGGTGGAGGGCTTTGCTGTATGGTTTAGGGGTTGCCGGGTTTGTGTGTCTGCATTCTTGGCGGCAGCCTGGTTTCCAGCACTTCCCGAGGTCACTGGAGACCGGTTCTTCGCCAAGGGCGTGGCATACAACCCCAGAAACGAGCGGCTTGGCCTGAGCAGCTTTGGGTGGGGCTCTGGTTAAACCCTAAACCCTAAATAACCCTAAACCGTGAGGCTCTGGTAAAGCCAAACCCAAGACCTTTTCGGGCCTTGTGAGTCGCCAAGCCGTTTCTCAAACTCCCCCCACATGCCGAACACTCCAAAGCCCAAGCCCCTAAACCCTAAACCCTAAACCCTAAACCCTAAACCTAAACTGGGCTTTGAAGTGCCAGTGACAGAAAAGGCCCTTTAAAAAAAAACCTAAACTGTGTGAAGGATGCAGGCTTCAGGTGTTTCAGACCTCACGCCGCCAGGAAATACGACCATTCTTTTGGCTCTTCCGTGCAGATCGCCGGCTGGGTGGACAAGTGTGTGCCAGGAGAACCCAAGGGAGGCCGGCTTAGGGTTTAGGGTTTAGGGTTTAGGGTTTGTGGTTTAGGGTTTAGGGTTTAGGGTTTAGGATTTAGGGTTTGGGGTTTGGGGTTTAGGGTTTAGGTGGACAAGTGCGTGCCAGGAGAACCCAAGGGAGGCCCCTGGGCTGAGAGCCGAGAGTTCTAGAGAACCCAATACCCCTTAATTAAGGAATATACCTTAAATTATGGGGGCCTTAGTATTATGATTTAAGGTATATTCCTTAATTAAGGGGTATTGGGTTCTCTAGAGTTCTATGGGTTCTTCGGAGGTTTGGCGGCTTCATGCATCGCGGTTGAGCGCTGACAGCTTTAGGGAAGCAGGTGGTCATCTGATTTGGGAACTGTCGACGGCTCCGTCATCTGAACCTCCAGCCTGAAATGCGAACCCACCGCAAAAGCAACATGAAACGTGAGGAAGTTGCAAGCATCTGCCGGCAGGCGGACTGCATATGCCCACCTAGCAAGTCTACTTCCACAACTTGCATGATGATCTCCATGACCCATCTTACCAATCTTAATCTTAGGAGCCCAGTAGGTAAACTTTAAACTTTCTGGTATATTAAACCCCCTACCAAAAGAAAAGTTTAAACTTTTTTGAGCCAGGGTACTGGGCTTCAATGTAATTACTAAATCACCACAGGGTGCAAGCAGATGTGGCAGCGAGTTCCAGCCTGGCGTGCGAAGGCTACTGGGGCTACACTGCAGACGTCGTGTCAGATGAGCGCGAGGCCCCTTCTGTTGATGCTGTCGGTTTAGGGTTTGGGGTTTAGGGCTTAGACTTGGATTTCCCTCTAGTCAGTATATGATTCACTATCAATACACAGTCATGTGTGGCGAAGACCCACACCACCAAACCCTCGTAAATGCTTTCGACTTTTGTTTACTGGAGAGAAAGCTTGTGCCTCAAGCAGTGATATCGAAGGCTCCGATTCAACGCCCAGCTAAGGAGGCGTTTCTAGGGCTGGGATGTCGGCGTTCAGGGTCGCAAGGTTGCCGGGTTTGTGAGGTTTAGGGCCGTTGAGGGTTTAACGTTAGCATGCAGTATAGCTTTAAGCGTCCTGTGGATCAGATCGGCTTAATCAGTGAAGACTGAAGGCCATTGAGGCAAACTCTACCAGTGCCTGCAAAACGATGGATGGGCCGGGGCTATACATCACATTGGTGAATGCTCTTTTTGTGATGGCGAGCGAGGGCAGTGGCCACCATTTTTTTATATGTTCCCTTTGAATCCTAAACCACTACCCAAGATAAAAGGTACCGGAAGCCTGCAACTGGAACTGGATTCATTGATCCTGCACCCCGACCCCGCAAACCGGAGCCCAAAACAACCAGCTGAATTTGTGCAGCCTGTGCGCAGGAATTCTGGACAGCAGATTTGGAAGCGAGCCCAAGCTTGATGGGCTAGGGTGGGGAGCTAGGCGCTTTCACATCGATCAGCTTCGTTTGGGGCTTTCTGGGAACATGGCACCGCGGAGGCTTATGGCTAAAGGCGAAGTACTGCATTTACAATCATTTACATGTATGTACATGTCATATACTGGTATACATGTACTTGTACAGACGTAACATGCACATATATATGCGTACATGTCAGTTCTGCTTTGAGTTCGAGTTTGCTGCCTTTCATGATCTGACAGGGATGTTCCAATCTACTCAGGATGGATTGGTTCGGCAAGCATGAGACTCCGTTTGTGTTTCTCGTGAACTTCGCCATCCTGCCGCAAGTCCTCCCTGTGGAAAAAACAAGTCGGAAGAAAAGAAAAAGAGAAGCAGAACCGAAGGATGCTAACAAGATTCAAGCTACTAGCCGAAACCTGGTTACAATACAAGAACCATGGGACTGAGCCTGGGCTTACAGTCCCAAACTCAACAGAGCCTGCACCCTTCAAGCCTAAGTCCTTAAGCCCTCAGTCCCTAAAAGCCTTCTTCTAACGTCGTCAACGAGGATGGCCAACATGGGGGCCAACACGATCCGCTTGTACAACGAGTCAAAGCTGCAAAATTGAGGGTTTTGGGGCATGTAAGGGTTTCCACAAGGGCTTGAAAGGCGTTGAGGCTTTTGGGTTCCAGGTTTTTGGGTCCAGGGCCGGATGCTGTGGAAACGCGTCATATTCTTACACCTGATGCAATCGTTCCGAATGCTTCACGCAACTCTGGGATACCCGCCTGCAGCATGCTCATTTCCAGGGAGTTCAGAATTCATCACGTGCCGGCACGCTTCAAGCTTGATGAAGCAGCCGCAGAGGAGGGAAGTGCAAGGTTTTAGGACTTCGAGGCTTCAGCATATCGCATGATTCGGATCTGAGTTGGATCCGCGCCTGAGCCACGCGAAGTTCATGAAGAAGGCAGCTTCCCTGGGCATCTACGCTTCTCAGCGGCAAGCCAGTGGATCGAATAAGATGCAGTTCTCAATCCTTCTAGAGAAGCCTTGAAACGCATGAGGCGATCGTGCCCTTGACGGGAAAGGTGTCTCAGCTCCACCAGTCGAGGTGCTTAACTTGAAGGTTCAGAGGTAGCTTCAAGCGGGGGATTAAGGTTTAATAAATGCGGGAGTTCCAACTTGCTGAGAGTCGAAGTAACTGCAACCAAGTAGGATCACAAAAGGCCCAGATTCAGTTGCAAGCCTCGAGGGTGCACCATTCTAAGACCCGAAAAACCCTGAGCCCTAAACCACTCCCAACCCTAAAGCCGCGCAACCTGAGCCCTTTGTGCTCAAACCCCGTAACCATAGGGTTTTGGGGGTTCCTTATTATAAATATGGTATACTATACCCCCAAACCCTAGTCCCTAAACCCCTAAACCCCTAAACCCCTAAACCTAAAACCGTCCATTTTGTTTTGCGGTCTTAGCCTTCGGGTTTGTCATGCGGGAGCCAAAAGTAATAAAAGATCACAGATTTGCGTCGCAGGTGAACACATGGTGACAGCTTTGTGAGCTCACAGTACCGATCCATCCACGGCATCCCTTGTCACAGTCACGACCCATTGTGGAAGTAATAATAGTCGTCTTCGTCGTACTTGTCGTAGAGGTAGTAGTATTGGTAGGAGCAGGCGTAGCAGTAGGACAGGATCAGCAGCAGTTGTAGTTGTAGTCGACTCTTTGGTTGTAGCCGTAGCTGCAGCTGTCACTGTAGCCATTGTTGTTGTTGTGGTGGTGGTGGTTGTGGCAATGATGATGGCCTTGGTAGTTGCATTGTCGTTGTGTCGTCGTTGTGGTTGTGGGCGGTTTGTTGGTTGTGGTTGTTTGTTGTTTGTTGTTGGCGGTCGGTGTTGATGGTTGTTGTTGGTTGGTGGTTGTTGTGGTTGTTGTGGCTGTTGTTGCTGTTGTTGCTGTCGCTGTTGCAGTTGATGTTGTTCTTGTTAGTGACATTGCTTTTGTTGATGGCGTGTTGCTGCTTCTCTTGCTTTTGCTCGTGCGCGTCCCTGCTCTTGTTCTTGTTGGTGTCGGGGTTGGTGCTGTCATTGGCATCGGTGTTGTCATTATCATTATTGTTGTTAGCCTCGTTATTGTGAGTGCTATGGTTCTTCCGGTTGTTGTTGCTGCTGTTGGTGGTGGTGCTTTTGTTGCTGTTGCTGTGATTGCCGCTGTTGTGTTTAATGTTGTGGTGGTGGTGGTGGTGGTGGTGGTGGTGGTGGTGGTGGTCGTCGTCGTCGCAGTGGCGCTGCGGCCCTCATCATGCAAAGAAGCAACAACAGCAGCCGCAACAAGTTTAACCAGCCAATACGAATAGTAAACACCACACCCCGGGACGTTGAACCCCAAAAACACTTAAAGCCCCGCTCCGAAGGACTACGGCTTCCTCCCAGCCTTCCCCGCTCCCGAATGCTACACCAAGGATGCTTGTTTTGGAAGGGGGGTGGGAGTTTTGCAGCCTCATGCGTTTGCTTCATAGGGCATCTTTCTGGGGCCTTGGATGTAAGAGACAGAGCCATCACTTTTACTGTTTCCACTGCGACTATTACTACTACTACTACTACTACTACTACTACTACTACTACTACTAGACTACTACGACTAACTACTCCGACTTCGACTACGAGTACGACTACTTCTGCTACTACCACTACTTCTTCTTCTACTACTACTGCTACCACCACTGCTACAGCTACTGCTGCTGCTACTACTACTACTACTACTACTACTACTACTACCGCATATACTCCTACAGAAAACTGCGCTGATGTGTATGGCAATTACATATAGTGTTGTGCTCAAGCCAGGGACAGCAGTAGTCACCTTTGTGCCCATGAAATATCATGAAGTGTCAATTATCCAGAGGACTTGGAAGACTATGGCAACGTGGGCGTCAACCTGCTCGGCTTTGCAAAAACTCTGATGAAAGAGAATCTTGCCTGCATCGGGGGATTTAGTAGGTAGTTTAAACGTGCTATTCATAAGCCTACAACTATTCAAGCCTTCAACAGAATATGCATAAACCCGGTGTCTAGCCTATGCATTGAGGCCTAGATCAGATCAGGTCGCTATAACATTTCTCGGCTCGGATTTCGCATGACCAAGTAGGCCTAAGCAGGCTGAATCCGAACTGGGCCGTTGTTTTGTGGACGCCTCTCATGGTTGAAGGGCTTAGGCCCTTAGGCACCGGCATGCATATCGTTGCCCCAATCAGTATTCTAGACTTATAACACAAGCCGCAGATCTGAAAAGAAAACCTTGTGAGCATGTGCAGCTGAAGGTTCAGCCAGTACAACAATACTTTGATGTTCACGGCGGCCAACGAGCTGGCACAGCTGGACAAGTCCGGGCCCCAAGTGAACGAGTTCGCTTCATGTAGGTTGAAAAGTTCGACGCTACTGTTGTCTCTCGCAATGGATTGGGGCATGGCTACATCGGTATAGACTCCCACCGCATGGGTATTTGTCGAGTTTTGGCACCAGGGCAGAGTTTTGAGCCTTTCCATGATCGTTTTTCAGGCTTGCAGCGAGCTGGATTTGACGTGTGCTGTCATTTTCCTCTGCAGGCTTGTCAGCCAAAGTGCGAATATCGAACACAATCGAATACTATCGAAGCCCGAGCCGCCACAGGAATGGCTACTCGGCTTTCCCCTGTGTCAAAGCGTTCGTGCGAGATCTTCACAACTACCAGGCCGGGGATTGTCAAGCAGGCCGAAGGCAGGTCCGCACTCAGTCAGAGAAGGTGGAAACGGGAGTTGCGATTCCCACTGTAATCTCGCTGGCCATGAATGGCACCTAGTTCATCAGGTCTGATAATAGGTGCCGTATTATAGTAAGGACCCAAAAAGGGACCCTAATTTTGACAACCACCCACATACTACTTCCCTGAAACGGAGAGCAGGCCGACTGCGCAGAGAACATGCGCGACTCGCCGTGGTTTATGAAGGGAGCGAGGTGCAAAGAGGTTTTTGGAGTTTTGGAGCTATGGGAGACCCTGAACCCTAAACCCGAAAACCCCAGCTTCAAACAAGAGCCCTTCGAAGATTTTAGGGTTTAGGGTTTATGGTTGCTCCATTTCTTTCTGTTAACCCTAAACCCTAAACGGGACCCATCTCTTAGGCTTTGGGGGTGTCTTGCTTGGGAGCGCCTCCTGGAATCCTCGGCCTTCCTGCAAAGGTGCGACCGTCTTCACCCACATAATGTCTACGATCCTACACGGTATAGATATCAGAGCCCAAAAAGTGTATAGTTTGGATGGATGGATTATAATAAATTAGGTTATGTATAGATTACATGCCATGCCCACTTTTGATGATAACAGCATTCCAGAATAGAGCCCAGTTTCCAAGGCAAGGTGCCGCTGATCTACTCCGATGTCGACACCGGTGGCGGCATTGCTCGTAAGGCGGCTCTCCGAAGAGATGTCCAGAAGCTCCAACAGCCCTTTCTCCAGGTCATGTCCTGTGTTCAAGAATGGAGCTAGACGAGTAGGTGTTATTTCTTCTGTAGCCACAACTCTTTCGCTTTGCACGAGGTTGTCGCTGAGTCGCTTGGAGCGCACTTGGTTGACCGTGTTTTCTTTCTGGCAGCGCAGGTAAGAATAAGCCGTGTAAGCATGCAGAGTAGGCCACCCGTGTGATGTCCCGACTTCGCAGTGCAATGCCAATGGCCACTGGTCTTTGTAGCCTTGGGCTTTGTGCCTGTATGTACAAGTGTGTTTAGCCACCCAGTCGACCAATCCATGTCATGTACCTGCCGAGTTACTTGACCTGTGCTTTGGAAAGCGAAGCTGATGCCGTTGACGCCTATGGTCTGAACGTCTACTCGTGGTGCGATGCAGCTTGTCATGAAGAAGGAGTGGGAGATTCAAGTCATAGCATGTCCTGTGGGTTCACTCTGGGATCAAAAATCCGACACGCGAATCGGGCTGTGGGAGGCAACACATGCGCAACAACCGCAAATGCACTGGTGGTGAAACAGGATGCTCGTTTGTAAGCTGTATACACCCGCACTTGTAAACCTGCGTGATGACAATGCGGTGTACCCCTCAGGCCCCATTTGATACGCCCAGAATAGTTTGACATGCTTTCTGCAAGCTCAGGAAACGTATCCTGGTGACGGAAAGGCCGACAACTTCCAGTATTCGCCGTACAAGGACATCAAGCAGGACCGGGGGATTCGGGCAGATGCGCGGATTGTTCGAAACTAACTTTGACGCCGCTGACAGGCAGTATGTAGTTTCAGATTGACCATGGGTTTCAACAGCCTTCACGCTGTATTACGACCTGGATGCTTCAGCCCTGGCTTGCACCGTCGATGAGTAGGACCTCAAGCTTCGCCTGTATCCTGTCGTTTTGTACGAAGACCCCAAAAAATCCAATTGCCCGGGAAAGCACCCTAAACCCTAAACCCTAAGCTGTCGGAGGATTTCGAGGACTTCTCGGTGCCCTTCATTTTCAGCGAGCCCCTGGAACAGAAATCCGAGGTTCTACGGTATTTATACTATACAACGTATGTCTGTATGCTTATGCAGAAATGTCATGCAGAGGTATGTATACAAGTAATATTATATATACATATATATAATACTTACTTACATACATACATACGTATATATACATATACATATAAATACCTGTTTATTCATTTGTATGTGCATATGCACACACATAAGTCTTTGTGTTTGTGTCTTCCTATCTATCTACATCAACCTTTGCCTGTTTCAATCCAGTGGGTTTCTTAACTTAGACGCGAACTCAAACATCTTTGGTTTGGCCTTGGCGGGGCGGCAACACACATGTCCGGGACATGTGCTTGCTCCTCGTTTGTTCTTCGACGTTCAGGAAAGACTTAAAGATCACATGACCTTTGTTGAACTTGATTGCACCATTCTTAGAATTAATAGTTCACTAGGAGCTTCAACTCGAAAACGTTAGCCCTAAACCCAAAGCCTTTTGTCTCCAAGGCATTGTAAACGTAGACTCAGACAGGCGCGGAAAATTGGCAGATTAGACAGCCCAAAGCTTTCGACCTAAAGAACATGAAGTCCATTCCTTAAGAAACCGGAAAGTTCTTAATAAAGGAATATGTTTTAAACTACCGGTTGATCCTTAAGGAATGTGGCTTGAGGTACAGTAAACTCCTTACTTGCGGGCTGTTTCATGGGGTTCAGGCATCCACTTGAAGCTGACCCTCACATGAGCTCGGATCTAGCATCTTTGCCAGTAACCCTAAACCCCTAAACCCCAGTCTTCAAGACACACAAAGCCCAAACACCTAAAACCCCTGTTGGAGGTTCAGGTAGGATTCAGACATTGGGGCTACCTCATACTGCCATTCCTGCTTGTGTGTAGGGTCCCTGTAAACTCTACGGCAGGGCTTACACTGAAACATGACAGTTTCTGACATGAGCAGTATCAATTTGGTTCGTGTTAGCGTTCGGGTTTTTCCCGGGGTTCAGAGTTGTGGGTTGAGCAAATAGTGACATACTGTGTATACAGCGTTATAGGGTTAGGGTTGTAGGTCCGAGGCTTTCAGCTCAAGGGTTTATAGGTGTTAGAGAATTAGCCTAGATCGGTCTGGGTCCAGTCTAGGATGCCCTTGCAGGGATGCCTCACTAGAATGGACAAAGGGAGCTTAGACTTATCCAGCTACTTTAGGGGTAGCCCTAATGTCCAGCCCTCTCATCTGATTCTTTGGAGTCTGTGTTGATCACATTTGAGCATCGAACATGGACTTCATGATGCAGTGTCCGTCACCACCTTCCTCCCAAATGCTTCGCGTCTGGAGACCTTCTGGGCGAGAGCTGGCCGTTTGTAGCGCAGAGGAGTTCAAGCATGCAGCGGCTTTGAAGGAGCATTTGTGCGAACTCTGTGGGTTTCCATTGTATTTGCAGCAGCTTTTGCATGATGGGAAGGTACTGGGCGACGGCGCAGAACTGGATGCCTCCATGGATTTGCAGTTGGTGCTGCTGACCATCTCCGAAGGCAGTATTTTCCGTTTAGCAAGAGCCGATCTGGCAGATGCTGCTCGACGAAACTATGATCAAATGGTCCATTGTTTGCTCGAAGCCGGTGTTGATAAAGATATCCGCACGGACGGCGCGACAGCGCTGATGCTTGCATCTGATCCTGGTCACATGGAGGTTGTACGCGTGCTGCTGAAAGCTGGTGCTGAAAAAGAGTGCACCGATCATCGAGGCATGACAGCTCTGATGCTCGCATCTGACAGTGGTCACTCGGAGGTTGTGCGTTTGCTGTTGGAAGCTGGTGCTAATAAAGACTGCAGGGGACGTGTTGGAAAGACAGCCCTGATGCTCGCATCTGAGAGGGGTCATTTGGAGGTTACACGTGTGCTTGTGGAGGCTGGTGTTGACAAGGAATGCCGGGGACGTGTCGGACATACAGCCCTGATGCTCGCATCTGAAAGGGGTCACTTGGAGGTTGTGCGTTTGCTGCTGGAAGCCGGTGCGTGTAAGAATTGCTGGGATAATGCCACGCGCCAGACAGCCCTGATGCGTGCATCTGATCGTGGTCACGTGGAGGTTGCACGCTTGCTGCTGGAATCTGGTGCTGCAAAAGACTGCGCAGAAAGTCATGGCAAGACAGCCCTAATGTTGGCATCGGAGAGTGGCCACTTGGAGATCGTGCGCTTGTTGCTGGAAGCTGGTGCGGCGAGAGACTGCACAGAACATGAGGGCAATACGGGTTTAATGCTCGCATCCGAAAAGGGTCACTTGGAGATTGCACGTTTGATGCTTCAGGCCGGTGCTCTAAAAAATTGGGCAAACGAGCTCGGCCGCACAGCCCGAATGCTCGCGTCCGAGAGTGGACACTTGGAGGTTGCGCGTTTGCTGCTGCCGGTGATGATCGTTCCAACGCACGCATCTCTAGCTTTGCTCGTCTGCTCCTCCATGCAGCGCTGTAAAAGATGGGTTCCTGCGGCCGTAAACCGTAGCCCGACGCCTCGTTTGGAAAGCCTCGATCATGACCTTGGGCTCCTGAACCACCCATGCCCCAGTTTCCGATACTGTAACTTTTGCATAGAAGGCCCGTATCCCTAAATTGAAGCTGAAGCATATGAAATCCCGGCTGTTCAGGGCTCAGAAGTCCGAAGTTCCAGGGTTACGGGCTCGGGGTGTTCGGGAGTTGGGGTCTTCTCATCTCTTGCCCGTCGCGATTTACATCCGACTTCCCAATTTTTACGTTGGATGAGTGCGTTTGTTTGTCCGTTTGTCTGTCTGTGTGTTGGTCTGTACGACTGTACGGTGTCAATTACATCATGAGGGACCATCCGTTCCATCATTTGGTACGGTAACACGAAGCTAGACGGTCCACAAAAGCACTACTGTTTTGGAATTCGGACCCCAAAACCATCATAAGGATGGTCTTTTGCGGGCCAATTCCAAAACGGTAGTATGTATTGACCCGCTGGAAGACAGATGTAGATGGGTAGTTATAAGTGGAGCTATAAGTACGCTAACTATAATTATAACCCATATTCGGGGACTTATAACCCTGCTTATAACTACCCTACACCCTATACCCTAAACCCTAAACCCTATACCCTAAACCCTAAACCCTAAACCCTATACCCTAAACCCTAAACCCTAAACCCTGAACCCTAAACCCTAAACCCTAAACCCTACTTATAACTACCC